CCACAATGTGTTTGAGAAATTGCCTCAATAGTGATATAAGGAGATGTTGTGACATGGTTGTGGTGAAGTCTGAGTAACCACCCATAGTCACACATTTTATGCTCATCCTAATACGTGTTTCTCTGTTTTGACAGGTATTATGAGTTCAGCCCGTAAGAGACGAAACACTGGGTCCTCTACTAGTGGCCTAGGAGGCTCCTCACGAGCTAGGGGCCAAACCAGTGCACCACAGTTTGATAGCACTCGGTTCGTCTCTGCAGAAGCAGAGGCAAGGTACAATTAGAAACTTGCCAGGAAGTTACTCCATGAGGTCCATATCGACAGGAAGGCTTTGGTGAGGGAATGCCCCAATATATTTGATGAGCTACGAAGGTGTCAGTTGGACATCTTCTTTGAGGCTCCCGAGGAAGCAAATATTCAGTTAGTGAGGGATTTCTATGCAAACCTGCCAGAACACGAGGACAAGGTTGTGATTGTGCGCAACACCCCGGTTAATGCTTATATAGAGGTCATCCGCAGAGTGTATCGCCTCCCCGCATTCACGGGTAATGATCATTACATCATGACTAGTCACCCGATGGATGACTGGGACAGAATTCTGGAGGTCATCTGTATACCAGGCAGACAGCCCAAATGAGTAGCACAATCGACGACTCTGCATTCCAAGTCTCTTACTTGGGAGGCCAAATGTTGGCTCACTGTCATCACCACTCGGTTGCTACCATCCAGCAATACCACCGATGTAAATGGGTCACGGGCCGCTATGATCTACTACTTCATGACTCACTAAGGGTTTGATGTCGCCCGAGTCCTCTTTGAAGAAATGTTCATCCGATTGCCCGAACTAAGCAAAGGCCACTACTTCCCTTCGCCTATTACCCGTATATGCCGCCTTGATAATGTTCCTGAGAACTCCCGAGTTGATGGGAAATTACCTATAAAAACCCCTTTTCGCGCGAGAAAAATTGGGCAAGAGGGACGAGAGCCTGTACGACGCAATGATGACTCGTCTGATGAGTCTGAGTCTGAGGATGATTCTAATGCTACTGAAGCTGTTGAGATCACATCCCCTCCTAGAGGGGACGAGGCAGTATCGTCACAGCCACGTCGGAGAACTCAGATGGATGCTTTGGAGCGGGAAATGACTGGACTGCGGACCTCCATGGATGTTGTGGCTGACCGACAGGTGATGTCGGAAAAGAAATTCATGGGTTGGTTGAGAGCACTGGGTTGCGCCTGCAACGTTAACCCAGACACAGTTTCAGATCAAGAGTGACCCTTCAGGGAAGTTTCTTTACCTCACTAATCTTTATATTGTCAAGCCATGGGGACATGTCTTAATTTTAAGTGTGGGGTGGGGTAAACTTTGTTGTATGTTGTACTTGTGAATATTATCTGTTTGTCTTTGTTTTGTGTTAGTTTCTTTAGAAATAGAGTATTGGTTTTTTTTAGGAAGTTAAAATAGAAGTGACTTGTCCCGACAATGGATCTCTTTCGGCGGGGTTCTTGAGGGACTAAGTCGAGAATTTTTTTTTGAAATATAAAGACTCTTCCTAATGACGGATTCTTTAGACAAATTTTCTTGAGGGAAGCTAGTCTATAGAAAACACCAAAAAGATTTTTATTTCTTAGGTAGTGTAGTAACTCCCCCTTGGTTTTTCTTTAGGCCACGGTTCTTTTTCAAGGGTTTAGCTTGAACCGGGTATAGGTAGATTTTTTTGTTGTTGTTTTAGGTTAGGATTAATGGGTGACGAGCTTAAAATTGAAGAAAAAAAACCCTTAGCGTTCTTACACCCGAACACGATAGACGCTAGAGTGTAGCGCTTAGCTTCAAGGGTTGAATCTTGTTTAAGTGCCTTAAAAATTGTATGTTTGTACCTAACTTGAACACTCAAAATAGAATGTTTTGATAAACTAATCTGGAGTGAGTCATGTGCCATGTGGGTGTGAGTATCATTGTATTCCATGTTGTACATTTGATGCCTAGAACTTGCCCTGTGTGTTTGCAAAGCAAAATAGTAGCTTCATTCGGTTTTAGAAGTGATACAGACATTTATTTGTTGAGCCGGACATATAAAGTGAACCCACATAAATGCATTACATCTCAGTTAACCCCGTTGAGCCTATAAGCCTGTTTCTTTGGCAACCACAATGTGAACCTTAACCATTTGTTTGAATAGCCTGCTGTCTGAACCAATTTTCCTCCCTATCACTAAGCACTAGATTGGTATTGAGATTATGTGAAAACAAAAGTGTGGGGTGGTGGTTTGGTTTTTGAAGTGGAACCATGGAAATAGAGAAAAGGTGCAGAATGTGAAGCGTAAAAAGAAAAGCACCACAAAAAAAAAAGTTCATATATATTTTGTCGTGATTAACAAGTGGTAGCTTGTACAAATTGCACCTAATGCATGAGGATGTTTAAATAAATGCGGGGGAGTGTTGGCTTACAAAATGATCATTTTTAAATTCAACGTAATTGTACTAAAAGTTCTTAGGGAGGTTAGTCACTATATCCAAATGTATCCTACCCGTCCCTTAGCCTACATTACAACCAAATAAAGTCCTATTGATCTTAGACTAAGTGGGGCTCGATTAGTTGAGTACTACACTAGGGGCAAGCCTATGGTGCATCTTTGTGGCATGTGAATGTTCTTTTTGGAGAGTGAGCGAATTCTGTCTATTTGTGTTCCTAATTGTTATCACTATCATTATATATATGGAATTACTCTCTTGTGTGATGTGAGGGCATGTGATTCACAAAAGAAAGGTGCATCTTGACTATTGTGTAGAGTGGTTTGAGTAAGTGCAAATGTTACAGGGTACGGAAAACTTGATTCTTGAGGTAAAAGTTGTTCACTACTAGGTGTAACTCTTGTGAAATGTTCATGGCGTGAGTCGTTGAGGGAAAAACATAGGAAATGAATTTTTATGGAGTGTGGTGAATTGCTCGAGGACTAGCAATAATTTAAGTGTGGGGTGTTGATAATAGGCTATATAATTGTTATTTACACCATAATTGCTCATGCTTTATTGTTGTTTTATAATGTAAGTTGCCAATAAAATGCTTTAATTAATGCTATTTGGTTTCGCAAGGAATATAAGATGTGAGGAAGCAACATGAAGTGTTTAGAGGCAATAACGTGAATAAAACACTCACTCAAGAGGTACCCAAACACAAAAAAGCAAAAAGAGAAGGAACATAGAGAAAAAAAGGCTCAGCACATGCACTACGGTTGGAGGCAGTGTTCTCCGCGGTCAGCGCCGCAGTCGACGCCGCAGTCGACGCCGCGGCGGCATGTTCACAACCCAAATTTTAAAGGGCCAAAGTGTCAAGTCGGGAAAACTTTTGTAAAATCCTTATAAGATGTAGGAAACTTGCCCAAGAAGGGAGAGCTGATTTTGAGATTATTTTGGCAAGAAGAACAAGTGTGAGAGATCACCCAAAATATCATAGTTCTTATTCTCTTCTAATTTTCTTGCAATTTTTCCATTATGAATATTTTCATAGTTTATTCTTACGTTGTCATGAGTAGCTAAATACTTTAATCTAAGGTTTTGGTGAAACCCATTGGGGATGACTTGGTTATTATAATAATATAATTTGAATTGGTTGTTAATCTCTATTTGTTCATCTACGTTTTGATTGTGGTTAGTTGAAATGACCCTCAATTATCCGTTCCTATTTATTATGTATCTTCTTGAGAGAGAGTGAATATTTAGGTAGTTATTTGAACAACATCACTCCCGGAGTATAGACGAGAGTCATAACCGAGGGTTTAGAGATTGTATTAGAGATAACGATATCTCGGGTGCAATCTAAAAGAACGGTAATGTGAATCTAGCTAACGTAGCTTGAGAGAGTGCGTCTAGTAAATTATCATAATTGCTTGAGAGAGATTTATGATAGCCGGAGAGTTCTTGATTGATAGAGACAACTAAGGCATCGCTATAAGAAACGTACAACCAAGGAAATCACCACGGGAGAAACCATTACCTTAGACCTTATTCTAACTGTTTACACATCAAGCATAGTTAATTTTCAGCTGTTAATTATTTTCAGACTTTAGTTGTTAGAGATATCATCAATTGTGAATTACAAAGTTTGGGGAAATTGATTCTGTGAATTTAGTAAATCTGTCAAAAGTAATTGATAAGTTATTTCTCTGTGGTTCGACTCTAGGCAGAATTACTCAGATTATATTTGCTAAGTCCGTGTGTGTCTTTGTATAAGGCATAGTTTGGCGTTATCAGTCCTTTTCATAGTTGGATTTACCCTTGTGTCTTGGAGCCAAGACCTTGCTAAAGTAAGCTATTGGCCTACCTTCCTGCATTAGTACAGCCCCAATGCCCATTTGGCTAGTATCAGTTTCCACTATGAACTCCTTGTTGTAGTCAGGTAGTGCCAACACAGGTGTAGAAGTCATAGCCTTCTTCAATCTCTCAAATGCTAAATTTTCCTCCTCATTTCACTTAAAGGCTTCCTTTCTTAATAAGTCAGTCAAAGGTCTGCAAATGGTGCCATAATTGGCAACATACTTCCTATAGTACCTAGTCAATCCCAAGAATCCCCTCAAAGCTCTCACACAGTTGGGTTTAGGCCATTCGATCATGGCCTTGATTTTGGAAGGATCAGTTGATACTCCTTCTACAGTTATGATATGCCCCAAATATTCAACTTTGGACTGACCAAAGGAACACTTAGACCTTTTAGCAAATAAGGAGTGTTTCCTTAAGGTGTCAAATACTGCACTCAAATGAGTTACATGTTCCTTCTCCGATAAGTTCTATATAAGTATGTCATCAAAGAAAACTAACATAAATTTTCGAAGGAAAGGTTGAAAAATCTGGTTCATCAAAGCTTGGAAGGTGGCTGGAGCATTGGTTAGCCCAAATTGTATCACCTTAAACTCATAGTGGCCCATATGAGTTCTGAATGCAGTCTTGTACACATCTTCCACCTTCATTCTAATATGGTGATAACCAGCCCTCAAATCTACTTTGGAAAACATCACAGACCCACTTAGCTCATCTAATAGATCATCCACAATGGGTATTGGATATTTATCCTTTATTGTAATGTCATTCAACCCCTATAGTCTATAAAAAACCTCCAAGAACTATATTTCTTCTTAACAAGTAAAGCTGGTGAAGAAAAAGGTGATTAGCTATGCTGTATGATGCCATTAGTGAGCATCTCCTTGACCTGTCTTTCTAATTCTTCCTTCTGAGAGTAGTTGTATCTATAGAGCCTCAAACTGACTGGCATAGCCCTAGGTTTTAAGGGTATGGTGTGATCTAAGGTTCTGACAGGAGGCAAGGTCTTTAGCTTAGCAAATACATCTGAGTATTGTTGCAGTACCTCCTCAATGGCCTCCCCAATTGGGTCTTGCTCTTCTACCTTAACAACACTGTAGGCATATAAATTTTACATAAACTAAATTCATAAAATAATTTGAACTATATTTTAAATTTGAGATATATTGGTCCAAATAAATACTATGGGCTAATATGATTGAATTAATTATATAAGTCCAATATATATGGATTAAATAAGTAAGTCTTAATTCATTGGGCTAGCCCATTTAATTGGGCTAAAGTGATGAGCCCAATTCATCAGGCCCAAGATGTCATCTTCCTAGAGGCCCAAATTGGCGCCACATGTCAAATGACGTGGCGCGCCAAGTCAAGCGGAAGAGCCAATAGGACCATGCCACGTCTCAAAATAACAAGGCATGCCCAATCACACTAAAAGGCCAATGAAATCGCGCCACGTGTGCAAGTGACATGTTCTGGCCAATCAAATGTGGCCATGTCACACTTCAATTTGATTGGTCGGAAAGAGTTTGTTCTTATCACAACTCCTCCCTTCCACGACTATAAATAGGGGTCTGCATAACTTAGAAAAGACACCAGAAGTTATAACAAGAAGCAAGAAAGAGCTCGTGGATCAAACGCTGCAAATTCCTCCACAAGTTTTGAGCTTCAAGCAATCAAGTTCAAGTTCAAGAAATCAAGTTCTAGCTCAAGAATGAAGAAAAAATCAAGTTCAAGCTCAAGAACGAAGAACAAATCAAGGTTCAAGGAGTACGAGTTCAAATCAAAGTTTGTGCTAGTTGAATTCAATATCATCATTTATGGCAACAAATATAGATTCAAGATCAAGCTCGAAAGCCCTTGAATTTATTTAGTATTGGAAAGAAGAATCAAAGGATTCATAGAGATTGTAACACTCAAATATTCAAAATAAAATACTACGATTGTTGCGATATTTTCGGTTTTGATTTTATTTTCTCGACGCAAATTTATTGTCTACAAGCACTCATCATGAATGAGTGAGCTATTAGAGCCTGACCCTTTCTTAACATTTTCCCCATGGTTCCACTGGTGATCATAGTCAGCTTCCCTTCCTCAGTGATGCCCTGCAATACCAACTTGTTGCCCTTCTTACCAATAGTAACACACATCTTCTCATGGTCGAATTTGGTTGGATTATGCTTCTTCATCCAATTATTTCCCATAACCATGTCACAACCCCCAATTGGGATAATCAGTAAGTTCTCTTGGAAGGGTCTACCTTGCATTTTCCACTGGTAGCTCATGCAAATCGAAGTGCACATAACATAGTTCCCATCAGCTACTGTCACTCTCACTGGTGGGCAGGGTTGGGCTTGGTACCCTGACTCCTTAATTGTGGTGGCATCAATGAAACTGTGAGTACTCCCAGAGTCAATTAACACTGGTAGTTTCCTGTTACCTATAGTACCACGCACCAGTATGGTATTAACCCCTTTGTTATCACCTGATAGGGCATTCAAACATACTGCCTTTATGACCTCTTATTCCACTTCTCCTTCAATGATTAGCCCTGCAGAGTTCTGATCTTCTCATATCTCACCAATTTCAGTAGGAACTTCTGTTGTCCCTATCATATTGTTCAATTGCTTCTTCTTGCATTGATGGCCTTGGGTATACTTCTTACCACATTTGTAACACAAATGGTTGCTCTTCCTATACTCATAACTCTCAGGACTAAGCCAGAATGAATTTGGTTTAACTACAGTTGCAATAGGTGCCTTGGCAATACTAGAGTTGCCAGTGATCAGAGAGAGTTTGGTTACCATTTTTGTACGCTTGAGAGCAGCTTCGATGGCCTTCTCTTGTAGCCTAGCTTGTTCTACCGCAAATCGTAGAGTTATAGGTTTGAATAGCTTCATACCAAACCTAATCTCTTCATTCAGAGCCCCAATGAAGCTAGATATGAAGTGTGACTCATCTAAGTTAAGATTCCTGATCAACATCTAGGCCTTTAAGTCTTCAAACTTACCCAAAAATTCATCCACTGTCCCAGTCTGACTTAGCTTGTTGAACTCCTCTACTATGTCTCCCATTAATTCCTCCCCAAATCGAATCAGCAGTTCATCTTTGAATTCAGCCTAGCTTACTTCACCTTTGCTTAGAACTAAGGAATCATACTAGATGTCTGCCAATCCATTCAAATAGAGAGCAGTTGCTTCCACCTTCAAGTTATCAGGAGTCCTATACAAATTGAAGTACCTTTCATTTTTCCGAATCCGCCCTTTAGGCTCATGAACTTCAAAGTAACGTAGCTCCCATTTAGGCGCAAGAGCTTGTACTGCTGGAGGTCGATGCTGCATTATTTCTTGACATGGTATAGGCAGTAATCCATCACCTTAAGGTCTATCCCCTTGTGCTCTTTGTGGAACCCTTTCCAGGTTGGTCAGTCGTTCTATGATCAGTTCCAGTGTGCCTTGTATTACATTTTGAGTATTGCAGAGTTCCTCTTGAGTGGTCATAACCTCGTTCAGAACCTCCTCGTGTCTAACTAGTTTATCATCCATAACCTTCAGCCTAGTTCCTTCAACCATCACCTTCTCACAGTCGCAGAATCGAGGCTCTGATACCAATTGTAATGAACTCAATTTGAATTAAGGAATTAAAATACAATAATGGAAATAGAATGATTTTTGGGACAATTTTCTGTTATATTGATAAAGGAAATCTAACGATTACAACTGAATGAAAATTGACTACTTCTAACTAAACTCCATGGCTGCAGTAACCTGAAGAAGAAGAAGAAGAAGAAGAAGAAGAAGAAGAAGAAGAAGAAGAAGAAGAGAAGAAAGAGATCTGTTAGGAAGAAAAAGAAGAAAAGAGTGAGAAAAGAGAAGACAGAATTACTCTGATGAACGATGCCTCCCTTTCTCTGATGCAGTTGGTTATAACAACCTTCAGCTGACGTGGCCAAATCGTGGCCCTTGGAGCTCATTAAAGCTTAAACTAATCCTAGCCGTTCATTCAAATTTCTGTTATTCCCTTCCCATTTTCTGCTATTGTTTTCTTCATTTCGAATCCCAGCTGCTGCACTTCGTATTGGATCATGACAGTTAATAAAGTGGTAGGAGAAATATAAGGTCTCACAAGTCACATGTGCTGGTAGAAGGTAACAGTTATCCAGTAGAATAATTGAGGTGTGCTCAAGTTGGTTTGAATACCATGCTGTAAAAACAATTATATGTTATTTTATGATTATCTGATAAAAATATATACAGTATTAAAATAGTGAATCATGAAAGTCTGAGACGTGTCCAGTATAGGATGTTACTACATCCTATTTGTAGGGCTTGGTTGATAAAATTTCAATGTGAAATAAATACTTAATGTAAATTGGTCTAAAGCACAAGTCTCCGAGATATTCAAAATTGGTTGAAGCACAAAATCAATAGAACACTATGGAAATGGCATAGATCACATGGGCCAAGAACTAAATCAACTCGAGCTGGTTGCGTTAGTCATGTCATAAGACGCGTTTACACTGTATCCAAAATTTTCATTGGACCGAATAGCGGCCTACTAGTAAAGTCGGCTGGTGACAGTTGAATATCTTGACAAACTAGATGTGCACCTACATTTCAATAAGGCCATTTCATGTTTTCTTTCCCCTTAAATGGGATGTTCTCAATATTCAGCCGACATCAATTATATAAGTTTTTTTTTTTATATTTCTCAAGAGCTCCTCATTTTGCTTCCTTAATAACTCAAGGTTATAATATTTGTGGTCGTTTGTTTGGAAAGAAGTTATTCCAGAGTTAATTATCTCAGGATTAGTTATTCCGGAATAAACTCTTCTTAAATTTATCAAACGAGCCCTTAGAGTTAAAGGCAGAGACGGATCCAGAATTTAAACATTATGGGTTCAGCCTTTAAGATTTTTAAAATTGAACCCATTATATCTTTATACTTATGGATTCAGACCTACCATTTATGACAATTTTAGTAAAATTTTACGTATAAATTTATGTTCCACATCAAAAGTACTGGGTTTAAATGAACCCGACTCCACTACTCTACATCCGCCCTGGTTAAAGGTAGAGGTTGTTAATCACTCGAATGATCCTCTCTTATTACATATTAATAGAAAGAGTAGAAATATAAATTGATGTCCTTTAACATATGTTAGTAGAAAGAATAGACATATAGTACTTGTTATAAGCGACTTATTAGTTGTCATTCACAAATAAATTGAGTGACATATTTTACTGTTTTATAGTCGAAAGAGGAGGAGAGAAAGAACGCATGCATGGAGATTTTATCTGTCGAAGGTTCGAAAATCTATGAAAGAACATTTAAAGCTAAATTTAGGACAGATATTTAAAACCTAATATCCCTAAATATTATATTACTTTTTCTTGTTTATTCTTGTTATACCTTTTCTTCATGTCAATGATTTGTATTTAAGCTTACAATTACCTATTTCATATCATAATTATGGTGGAGAAAGATGAATTATTGAGATAATTTGATACAAATATCTTAATTGAAAATTCAAATTATAAGAATACATCTACCTTATATCTTCAAAACAAAAAAGGCAAAATATTGAAAATGATTAATTTGAAAATTAATTGAACCAATCTAAACTTATTTGATTTGGAGTTAAGTTATAATTTTTTAAATCCGTAAAATCGAATATTTTCCCTGTCCCATGTATAATATTAATTGGAAAAAAGAAAAAAAAAATACTTTTCTAAAACCAAAAAGAAAAAAGAAAAACCTGCACCGTAACATACTTCAGAGATCTAACGGTGGTAGACATACTAATTAGGGTTATCGAACATTCTAGAAAAACGAACCTACTGTCAGCTCCCACTATAAAACCTTCCTCTTTACCCCATACTCTCTCTCTCAAAAACCCTAGTTCTCCAAAGCATTCTCTAAGCTCTCCTCTAAACTAGCCGACACTAAACAAAAGGAGAGTAAAATCCATGGCCGGGAAAGGAGAAGGTCCGGCGATCGGAATCGATCTCGGCACTACATACTCATGCGTCGGCGTGTGGCAACACGACCGTGTTGAAATCATTGCCAATGATCAAGGTAACAGAACGACGCCATCCTATGTTGGTTTCACTGATTCTGAACGTCTCATTGGTGATGCTGCCAAAAATCAAGTCGCTATGAACCCTACCAACACTGTCTTTGGTAAGATCTCTTTTCTTTGTGGTTCCAATATCAGATTTTTCATCAGTAACATGCGATGTGCTTTATATTTCACTGATTTTTATTGTAATTGATAGATCCGAGGTTTTACTGTCTGTGTTTTAATTTAGATCTGTTGATTTGAAGTGCTTTAGTTGTAAGAACGATACAAAAACGCGCTTTTAATTTAGATCTGTTAATCTGTAGCTACTTCAGCTATTTACTATGATCGGTTAAGCTAGATTAGTTGTATACTCTGGACTACTTTGTGAGAGCGTTTATTATGAATCTTTATTTGATAAATGGCTGTGCTCGTGTTTTTTGAACGTCTAAAAACACAACCTTTTTAAATTATTAACTAACTGGACATGCGCACTAAAAAGTTACTAGTATATTGGGGGAAAACTCTAAGTTCAGTATCATGTTATTAAATCGGGGAAGCTAGTTGAGATTTAAATCAGGATATGTGATTTGCTTGTCATCTTTGATTGACTGGAATTCTTTAAGTTGAAGATTTAGTTGATCTTTGAGAGGTTACTTTGGAGGAATAGTGGCAAGTGTAAGTGGTAAGCTGTGTTCATTTTTTTTCTTTGTTTGGCCAGGAAGGTTAATCATCTTTGATTGACTGGAATTCTTTAAGTTGAAGATTTAGTTGATCTTTGTGAAGTTTCTTTGGAGGAATAGTGGCAAGTGTAAGTGGTAAGCTGTGTTCATTTTTTTTCTTTGTTTGGCCAGGAAGGTTAATCATCATTAATTGAATCTTCAACCACTAAATAAATAGGATGTTAGGGGGCAAACTCAGGTATTTTGTAGTGATAGATTTAGCAGTTACAGCACTGGAGGGAGCCCTACTTGATGTTATTGAAACAATCATTGTTACCTTAACGTGTATGCTCAATATAGGCTTAGCATATCCATTGTGCATCTTATTTCTATTACCATTAGACTCCTGTGAGTTAATGGATGTACTGCGTTCTCTTCATATGTAGTGTTGCCGACTTGCTTATACAGTATTACTGGTGAGCAGATAAAACTCCTATTGAGTGATGATAGTGTTAAGAGCAACATACAAACTCCTACTGATCATAAGCATATTAATGTGTTACTGTTATGTGGATTTCTTGGAAGTTTGTATATGGCTGTTTTGGAGCGTATGCACATTGGCAATTAAATTTATCTAGTTTGTTCATTTCAGTTTCTTGACAACGACATACTTTAAATATTAACCTGAATTTTTGCGCCATGCAGATGCTAAAAGGTTGATTGGTAGGAGGTTTAGTGATGCCTCTGTGCAAAGTGACATGAAGTTATGGCCATTCAAGGTCATTCCTGGTGCTGGTGATAAACCCATGATTGTTGTCAACTACAAGGGTGAGGAGAAGCAGTTTGCTGCCGAGGAGATCTCATCTATGGTGCTCATTAAGATGAAAGAGATTGCTGAAGCGTTCCTTGGCACAACTGTTAAGAATGCTGTGGTTACTGTTCCAGCCTACTTCAATGACTCTCAGCGTCAGGCTACCAAGGATGCTGGTGTTATTTCAGGATTGAATGTGATGCGTATTATCAATGAACCTACAGCAGCTGCCATTGCTTATGGTCTTGATAAGAAGGCAACAAGTGTTGGTGAGAAGAATGTGCTTATCTTTGATCTTGGTGGTGGTACATTTGATGTCTCTCTTCTTACAATTGAGGAAGGTATCTTTGAGGTGAAAGCTACTGCTGGAGACACCCATCTTGGAGGTGAGGACTTCGACAATAGGTTGGTTAACCATTTCGTTCAGGAATTCAAGAGGAAGAGCAAAAAGGATATCACTGGTAATCCTAGGGCACTCAGAAGGTTGAGAACTGCATGTGAGAGGGCAAAGAGGACTCTTTCTTCCACTGCTCAGACCACCATTGAAATTGATTCTCTGTACGAGGGTATTGACTTCTATTCCACCATCACACGTGCTAGATTTGAAGAGCTTAACATGGATTTGTTTAGAAAGTGTATGGAACCAGTTGAGAAGTGTTTGAGGGATGCTAAGATGGACAAGAGCACAGTTCATGACGTCGTCCTTGTTGGTGGCTCCACTAGAATCCCAAAGGTTCAACAACTTTTGCAGGACTTTTTCAATGGGAAGGAGCTCTGCAAGAGCATCAACCCTGATGAGGCTGTTGC